TGCTGGCTGACCGTGACAGGTCTCTTCCCTGGCCTCCTGTTGACTGCCTGGTGTACTTCCGTGCGACCCCTTTTATGGCGTTTTTTATGGCTTAACAGGCTCGAAAAACGACGCGAGTATAATTAGAAGCATTTTTATTGGTCGAAAAATAGAAACACTTTAAAATATTATTTTATTTTTCGACCGGAACTCATGCGTCAGAAATATGCGTAAACGAAGATAATGGTCATTTTGTGACGGGGCCTTGTCCCGTTCACATCCGGCTCTCGCTCTTGAGTATGTTAGTTTATTTGCCTGCAAATCAGCCTAGATATGTCTTATTTTATTTTATAACAAAACGATCTCTCTTCGTCTACTTTTGAACATATGCAAACCGTAAATCCCTTCGGTGAGCAGCGAAGTCGCTTACTCTTGTCTTAACTATTTTTTAATATTATTTTGTCTCAGATCATTTAATCTGTTGCATGAAAATTTGCTCTTCGTGACAATACGTTAAAACTACGGACTTTAAGAATTCAGATTTATCTTTTTGAAATGAGCTACTGACATAAATTCAAGCGTGTAAATTCGTGAATAAATTCCTTATCTTGTTTTATTAAAATTACTCGTGTGTTTCCTCGTCATTACCAACCTTCATTAATCCAAAATTTTGGGCAAATCAAAAGATGATCATTAAATGTTGAATTATAGCGCCACTATAAGAGAATGTGGTTATTTCTTTGAAAGCACAGTGCGATATAAGGTGGGAATCACGAATAGATGCTGTCAAATCATTGCAATTTCACCTTTAAAACATTAGAAATGCTCTAACCAATCTTCGAGAAAAGTCTTTGGAAAAAAAAACATCGTTGCAACGGCAACATCTTATAACTTACGACTGTTGAACTGGATTTCTACTTGGAACTTTGTGCTTAAAATTATCATTTGGTACGATGTTCTGTTTCAGGCGAACAAAGGCAGTCAGTTGTTGCGATGTTCTGATGTTACAATCGACCTTATAATTGCAGAGATCTGTGGAAGTTGCTGTTCTTCAAGATTATCGTGAAAATGGTTATGCCTCTGCTATTTTCAGACGTACATCTGTGTCTTTTCAAAAAAGATAAATGAAAATTGTTCACCTTTAAAATACGTTTTTTTTTTTTTTTTTAGAATTATTGTCCCGAGATGAAATTCAAACCCACGAAGAACGTTTTTATCATGACTTTTTTTACCTCACTTGTGGACAAATGTTTGTCTTCAATTAATAATCGGCTTTATCGGCTATCTCAGTGGAGTGAAATGTATGAATTCGTTCAGAATTCAAACTTTTGAATGCAGTGAAGTGTGGAAAGCTGAACAAGTAGCGTAAACTATTTCCCGAAATAAAATGGTTGACGTTGAACGAGAAGAATTGCCCCCACGATATCAAGAGATTTGCCTCAATTCTACAATGTGAATTGGAGATTAGAAACAGATAAAGAGAGCAAAAAAAAAACGCACGTTATTTTTTTTATATTTATCGGAATCATTTAACTGATACTTAATCGAACTGGTACATTGCATTGCGTGTATTGCTTACTACACCAGCGACTGTTACAATTGCCGAAAGAGGTTTCAAAAAACTAAAACTTATGTTTTTATCCGATTTAGCGATTTATAATTTTAATTGAAAAATGAAAAGAAAAACTAAATTTCCCTTTTTGTGATGAAAAAATGAATTTTTTTGCTCAAGATAAGTAGAAAAAAAAAACACGATAGAAAATTCACTATTTTTTTTTTATCCATAATCTTGAATGTGTTAAAATTCTTCAACTTTTTCAAGAAAAATCTCAAGTTAATGTTAAAAATGGCGGCAAAACATTGTTGATTTATTTAAGACGTAATGATCTATTATGACATCTTTCTAACTTGTATTTAGATACATTGCATTTATTCTCAATTTTTCTCGTTGAATTATTCACCTATATTGCATATGATCCATTATTGTAGATAATTAGATTACAATAAAATTTGTATTTTACATGAATACTACCTTATGAAAATGTAGTTGTAGGTTTGGGACTCTTCTTATAGATTCGGTGGGCATGTGACCCCTTCCACCTATTAATGGTAATATCAAGACACATACTTTGTACTTAGCTATTTTATCCCCAACCAGGATGCGTCAGATGAACACGATCAATTTACTTGGCAAATATTTGATGTTGATAGAATCTTATTTGCAAAAATCGTACTTTGAAAAATCTGTCACGTAACCTAAGCATCTGTCAGATTCACAGGCAACTGCAGCTGATATTGAAACAGTTTACAAGAATAATGTTCATGATGTTTATTTGCACCATATTTTGACAAGATCACTAAATCTTTGCAACCATTCCTGTTACATGTTATTTAAATGCGCTTTTGGTCAGGCACAAAATAAAATGTCGGAAAGCTAAATTAGACGCGTTAAAAGAACAGGAGACAAAGATATGTGTTAAGTTTTAAGGATTACTAATTCTATATTTTTTATCAGTTCGTCTCATAAAATTAATATTTTTTACATCTATTCTACTCAAAAATAACATTTTATTTTATTTTAAATACATTTTTTTTTTTACTGTTCCTTTTTACTTATATACTAAAAGTGAACAACAGATGTTTTATCTGTAGATAAGACATATAAAAGTTTTAGAAGATAATGTTTACAGACGAAGAAAAAGACAAAGGATGCTTTCTGATTATTTTGAAAATTTATACGGCGATTATTTTAGAGAAATGATAAAACTCAGCTCAATTGCCTGTTATAGATTTAGACAAAAAAGACGAATTTAGTTTTTTTTTTTTTTTTAAATTATTTCACCCCAACTAAGGTAATAAGCCCACTAAGATGCAGTAGGGATTACTGAGTGTTAGAGAATATGAAAGAAGGGGAAAAACACTATTAAGGGAAGAGGACAATAAAAGAACGTGAATAAAGAAGACAGAAGATAACGATTTAAATTTTTGAAGATCAAACTTGACTGTGAAACAAGAAGCCGGAAAAGAATTCTACAAGCGAGAAGTGCGAAAGAAGAAATTGTTAGCATAGAATTTATGGTTACATCTAGCCATTTCAACTATAAAACGATGAGACCTTTCCGCCAATCTAGTACTGCACTTAAATTCATAAAACCTAGGTACCATAGAGGAAAGTAATATTTATTTTGTATAATACAAAAATGTGGCCCAAAGCCAAAAGGAGACATGGGGAAGACTGGCCTTGTTCTGTCTTCCTTACCATTGTTACAGACACCACAATACCCCTATAAATATACCTCCACAATAAGTCCCTATGCATCTATAACTAGTCCCCATCTGTAAAATTTGGGGGCGTGAAATAAAAACAACAATTTAAAAATTTAAGCCCAAAGTTTTTCTACAATATATGACAAAACTGTTTGCAAGAAAATAAACAAAATAAAATCTGTCTATATTTATGAGATGAGTTATTGTAAATATTTACACTATTCCGACTGTTTTTCTCGTCTCCGTTGCCATATTTTGGGTCGGAATTTCGAACTGAACACTTTATTTCATCCACCGGAATAAATTGTTCTAGTTCTACGTGCCATGCCTCTTCCGGATGTCTCAGTATCAGTTATCTCCCTTTTAACTGAACTCACCAAGTTTTTGTTCAACTCAGCTGTAACCAAGTATTGAACTCACAACTCTTTGAGTCAAGTCACTGGATCCAACCAGCGCGTTTACCCACTGGGCTATGCATCCTTGAGGACATCAGAGTTTTGGGGACTTATAAACCTAATACCTTAGTAACAATTTTTTTTTTTACCAGAGCTCATATTACAATTTGTTGTCATTACTGTTTTTCTCTTGCTCTCTGTATTACTGTTTCCCATATTGTATTCATTTCTATGCTTGGTCGGCTCAGGAGGTTTTTATGGCCTAGCATATATGTTGAAATGTTGTGAACATGGCAACGAAGATGAGGATAACAAATGTCAATATTGTAAATAAAATGATATTTGTAATAGCCCCACCCTACAATCATAAAGGAAAGTTCATCAGAACAATTTACCACGAAAGTATTTATAGAAAAGCCAGAAGGGAGCGACGTTACGGTGATGGGGAAGTGACTGAAGTCAAGATGCCAGGTCAGGGCCAATAACATTGCACATTCTTCTTTGGATTTTATTAAGAATCTCTAAATACGTAGCGATATTTATTCTGTAATATACAGAAATGTGGCACAAGGCCGAAATAGGGGAATGGGGAAAGGACGGTCTTCTTCTGTCTTAATTATAACTTAGCTGACCCAATCGTACGAATAATATTCCTTACACCAAAACACGTTCATACGTACCTTCCAAACTACAAACACCATAATACATAGCATGAGCACCAGACCAGATGTGGCAGTGATATTCAAAGCAAGAAACGAAATATATAAGATATTACATGTAGTCTTCTATTTAGTTCTTAGTTGCAGAAGATTCCCACAAAAAGTCAAAAAGTTCCCCGACCCTTCTAATCGCTCCGAGGATATCAGGGAACAGATGAATGAAGATTTACCTTAAGAATTCAATGGATCAAACACGACTTAAGAATGCAGCAATATTGAATATTGAGCGAAAGTATAGTAATGTCTGTTGAAAAAATGTTGACCAAATAAGTGATATTCTTACCGCAAAGAATGACGGGAAACATCAGTTTCTGTTAAGTGTTTTTTTTTTTTTTTTACTTTATACTATTGGTTAATAATAAGACTTTTTAGAATTTAGTACTTGTGTTTTATGTAAATGTTCGTGCACACCAATACCCCATACGCCCATGTGCAGAATCATGTTATTGGACACGACTGCGCATGTCAATGTTGCCAAACTTTTGACCTAATTAAGTTCTAATAGATGCAGTCAATAAGACAATATTTGAAAAAGTGTGACAAGCGTAAAAAGTTGGAAAGCACTGTCTGCATCTAAATGGATCTGACACTCCGACACGGGAAAGGAAAACCAACAAGGCCTGGTGGTATTGTGATATATTTAATAGGTGATATTTATTTTAGTTAGATAGATAAATGGGATTTGACCATATAACTTTTTTAGATAGATAGATAGATAGATAGATAGATAGATAGATAGATAGATAGATAATGAAAACAAGACAGATATAGATAGATAGATAGATTGATAGATAGATGATAGATAGATAGATAATGAAAACAAGCTGTAATAGATAGATAGATAGAAATGATAGATTGATAGATAGATAGATAGATATATGAATAGATAGATAGATAGATAGATAGATGATAGATAGATAGATAGATAGATAGACAATGATAAGCTGAAATGGATAGATAGATAGATAGATTGATAGATAGATAGATAGATAGATAGATAATGAACAAGCTGTAATAGATAGATAGATAGATTGATAGATAGATAGATAGATAGATAGATAATGAACAAGCTGTAATAGATTGATAGATAGATAGATAGATAGATAGATAATGAACAAGCTGTAATAGATTGATAGATAGATAGATAGATAGATAGATAGATAATGAACAAGCTGTAATAGATAGATAGATTGATAGATAGATAGATAATGAACAAGCTGAAATAGATAGATAGATAGATAGCAAATGCAAGTCTAAAAAGCACTCCTACTCTCATACCCAGAGAGACACATGCTGACCAACTGTTCCCAATACCCGCTTGAAAGCACTGCTTAGATCTTTCAGTTACGTTTAAAACGGCTCCCACATCATCTCACCACTAGTACAAAAATCCTGGACTAACACACGTACACAGGCAAGGGCAGACAGTTTCTGCTTTGACTACTGCTACTACTAGTCCGTTACCAGTCGTTAGCACTTTCTATACATATTGCATATACCCCCAATATATGCAACATTCAGATATGCTTACAATACATTTGACAAATGTACATGCCTATGGAAGAGGCGCGGCTCAGGTGGTAAGTACGTTAGCGTTCTGAGATAACTGATTATTAACAATAGTCCTGAACTTCAGTCAACCATGTTTATTTTTAAATACTAAAATACAGTTCGTTCGAGTTTGAGTGATGGTCAGTAGTAAAAAAAAAAATCATTGAATGATATAAAAAAACGTGTATATTGTCACGTCTGTACGTAAAAACCTTGTGCAGTTTTTTTATGCTTGCAAAATCCACAGGTTGTTGGCTTGATGAGCAGGATTGTAGTGGAATAATGAGTGAGGTTCACAACTAAAGTTCCACCAGTCATACCAGGTTGGTGGGACTTCTTGCTAAGCATTTATTTTCTATAGAAGAAACGCCTGATTTTAGTTTTCGAAAGCACTTCCTCTTGATGGGGGGGGGTGATTGACGAAGTAACATTTACTAGTGTCTAATAGCAGTTTAAAAGATTAGCCATGATTCAAGAATTGTTTTAAAAATTATATGATTTTGAAGGCTAATTTGAAAATCAGGCAAACCCTAAAGCAAAAAAATAATGCTGTACCCCAGTTTCTAATAATCTGCCACACCAAAAGAATAGCCATCTAGACAGAGTGTTTAATATGGATGAATTTAAAACTGACCATAGAGGGAGATGTTAAAAAAATAGTACAAAGAACTTTTCAGTCTTTTTAATTTTTTTAACGAGCTTCACCGACCCGGTTTTAAGTATCCGTTAATCTGCAAATTTAAGTCAACTATCTCTAATTTTTATTTGCTCTTTTCTTTATAAGAAATAATAAAAATAATTTTTGGTAGAAATCAAAGTTCATTGAACAAAAAGCTAAAATGGCTGAGAATGAGATTACAAAACTATTTTAACAATGACTAAAAAAAAAACAAAAAAAAACTCTGCAATGTGAATTAAAAAAATATATACACGTCATTTAAAACAAAGTCTACGAAAAAAGAAAAAAAAAACTATCAAAAACATCAAAACAAAAACCTTTTCTTTATTCAATGAAATGGAAGAACCAACACAAGCGTACCAAGCAAATCAATTTATCAAATTATCTATATATACTTGTATGTTGCCATAATTCTTCAACCTGGGGTCAGCTTACTCCAGAATCGACAATGACCCAAGTCCAGAAACAGAAAGAATGAAATTAGCCAGGGCAGTGGGGTGAGAGGTGACTTGGGTCATTAAGGATGTCAGGTATACTAATCATTATTAAATAAAAAAAATGGTGTCTTGGATTCGTTTTCAAGTCAATGGGTCTAAAAGTGGAATCCTTCAAAATACAAACAAGAGAGAAAGCAAATTTTTAAATGCTTTTAAAAAGAAACCTTTAAAAAAAAGCAAAACTAACGTGTAAACTTACACACTTTGATCCACCGATGAATACACACAGGTGTGTGTACACGAGTATTGATTGAACATTATGTTGTGAAAATTAGGAAAATGTTTTAAAAAATAATAATAAACGCATATTACTAAATTCTCTCTAAATTCTATAGAAATTTTTAAAATTAAATTAAAATTTTCAGGTGTGGGGTTTGCTTTTTTTTTCTTTTTTAAAGAGTGCTGAGAAATTCTCTCCCCGATGAAGCCAATATTTTTATTTTTTTTTTTTTAAATCCTTTAGTGAGGCCGAGAATTTTTCATTACACTTACTTCGGGCATAGACCGGTCGGATTGTAAATATATATAAAAAAAAAAAAACAAAAAAAAAACAAAAAAAAAACATGTTACAAGATGAAGAAGAAAAATGCACACAGATTTTTTTTTTTAATTTATAAAAGGAAAAGCAAAAAAAAGCAAGAAAAATAATTTTTTAACATAAAAAAAGCCCAAAGTGCGTATACTTTTAGTAGTTTTACTATATATACACACTTAAATGCTTTCTTTACAATTTTTTACAAGTACTGCTACTAACTAAATTAGATTGTATGAATAAGAAATTGCTTTCTCTCTCTCACACACACACAAAAACCTGATTTAATAAAGTCATGATGACTGTATTAACGTTAACCCCATAAAAAAAATATTTACACACACCTACGAAAGCGTTTTTATTTTATGCATTAAAGAAAAAAACTTTAACAAAAAGAAAATTATGGAATAGTTCGTTAAAATACCAAAAAGAAAAGTATTTTTATTTTTAGAATATAAAACTGTTTGAGTACAGGTGCGTGCATATATATATATATATATATATATATATATATGTGTGTGTGTGTGTGTATTGTTTGTAACACATGCATGCGTTCTGAAAAAATCATTACACATTTAACTTCTATTTTAAAAACACAGTGACTATGACAAAAAAAAAAGAAAAAACCCATCACCACTACCCTGACAAAAAATAAAACAATTAAAACACAATGCACTATAGAAACACGAAAGGTTCTAAACAAACTTACTACACACAACCATGTGCGTACACATCATATGTATACGCACATGTAGTCCAAAAATGCGTACACACATGCGCTTACACACACACACACTCACTGACGCACTTGCAATTCACATATCTAAATTATTCAATATGGCAGACTATATGTTCTGTGTGTCTTCAGTTAAGTTCTTGCAAACGGAATACGTAATTCCAGGTACGTACAGGCCCTATTTTCTTACCCCACAAATCTAGCAGGTGACCGTTGTACCCAGAAACCCCGTTTCTGTCAGCGGGTGAGACATTTTACGGGTATTTAAAAATCCACTCTGGATTTACAACCCATAGTGTATATTTCGTTTGTTACCTCCAGCTATACACACACGCACATATATATAAACACACGCACTCACGCAGGATTTTTGTCAAAAGATATTCGCATTGCATACCATCGTACGATTTTTTTTTCTCCTTTAAAAACTGTCTTCTTTAATTTAATATATATATATATATATATATATATATATATATATATATTTTATATAAATGTCTAATTATTTTCTTTGTAGTTCCTTTTCTTGATCTGGCATTTTTGCTTTTGTTAGTTTTCAAAATTAAACCTGCCCTGATCACCGAAAATGTTGGGGGTGGTTAATAATAACTTGTATTTTTGGGGGGTAACCTGGGAAGAAATTAACGTTTACTTGTTCACAATCGACAAACTGTAAAAGGCTTTGGATTTTTCGACTTTAGGAATTCGATATATCTATGTACATGTTTGTTTTTGTTTTTTTGTTTTTATATAACACGTGTGTATTGAAGAAGGGTGTTTTTTTTTCATCTTTTATTAATGCTGTCTGAAATATCTTTCTTTCTTTTTTTTTTTTTTGTTTGTTCTTAATTTTAAAATCCGAACTTTTGTCTACACACACGCACGCATATTGTTTGCTAAATATTTTTCAGTAATTTTCTACTCTATGACCTGAAGAATTCTAACATGCTCTTCGACGTACCCCTCTCTTCGCCCCCTAGAAAAAAAAAAAGGTCAGTTTCTCGTAAAATTAGCACGTCGACAATCTTTTCGATGTCTCAAAATGCAAACAGAGACCTTCTGGTCAACAGAACTGCCCCCTTTTTTTGTTCTTTGCAAAAAAAAATAAAACTAAATATAACAATTTTAAAAAGTTTATAGATGCTGTGGCGGCGGGGGGGATACATTGTTTAAGTAATAATTATATCCCAAGAGGTTGGGAACTGACTTTAAGCTAACTAGCTAAATCGATAGATAGAAATAAACAGAATCAAATAAATAAAAACAGAATTAGAGAAACAGAATAAATGGGAAGCTAAAATTATAGATAGAAACTAAACAGAATTAGATTTTAAAAAAAGAATTAGAAAGAAAGTAGAAACATAATTTAAATATAAAAATAGAATTGTATATATATATATATATATATATATATATATATATATATATATAACAGAATTAGATATAGAAAGAAACAATTGAACAAAATTAGATAGAATGAGACTGGAGAAATAGATATGGAGGAACTGAGATGTAGGCTGACTAAGTCATTGATATTTAGCTGTAAGGAGAAAACGCACTTTAAAATGCCTATGTGTGCAAAAGTTGTTATTGTGTAATAATTAAATTATGTATTTTGTTTAAATGTGTGTTGTTAGTGATCTTTTTCTTAACACTTTACTGCGTTTACACACGTGTTATGAATGTGTACACGTTAAGAATGGATTTTGTTATTAATCCACACAGTTTGAACACTTAAAAAGTCATTTTTCTTTATAGCACTCTAAATAAAATCATAATTTTTAGTGCGTCTGTGTGGCACAAATTTGATTTCTATTTATACACATATTTGAAAGGATTAAAATTACATGAATTAAAACGTTATTTATTTAAAATTTACAGCTACACATAAGCTACAAATTAGATTTCATGTACAAACAGCAGGAGTCTGTACATGTGTATGTATATACTTTAACTTTGTACATATGTCATAGGGCACCTACCATAGTGTACTGTAATCTTTTTGTAGATTCGTCTTGGTAAAACAATTTTCTGGTGTAGTGAGTTCAGTCTTCGATGACTCATTATTATTATGGCCTTATACCAGACTAAGATATGCTTCATAGATATAACGTCTGTTGTGTGTATGCGTATTTTATAAAAATTAAAAATTCTTTGTCTTAAGAAATTTCACATATTTTGTGACCTAAATCCTATGTGAGAAAAAAAAATACATGTTTTCTGGGATTTAACAAAAAAATTTCTTTTTCTGTTCAAATCCCATATCTTCCCCCAAACAAAA